CTCCCGCTGCGAAGAACGACGCGTCACGACGCATGGGCTCCAGCAGTCCTTCGGCCTCCGCAGGGCCTCGGGGGGGGGGCCCGCTGTCTCGGGCCTCCGCGGGGTCTCGGGGGGGGCCTCCGCAGGGCCCCGCAGGGCCTCGGGGGAGGCCTCGGGACTCGAGGCCTGTCCCGGGGGCAGGAGCCCAAGATCTCTGGAGGGCCACGCTGTGAGAACATTTGCACTGCATCCTCGGGGGACCTCGTCTGTCCCGTCGCGACCCTGTCCGCGTCGAATCCGTCTCGAATCCATGTCGGCCTCGGCGGATCCGTGTCGAATCCGTGTCGAATCCGCGTCGAATGCCCGCCAAATCCGCATCGAGGCCGCATCGAGACACAAAAAAAGACACCAACTTGGGGGACAGGCGGGGTCCCCCGAAGATGCAACGTGAAAACATCACTACGTCAGAATCCCGATTGGGGTCCGAGCAGGAGGTGGGGTTGGAGGAGCGCGCCGCATCGCAGGTGCATCGTCGGTGCATCGCTGGCGCAGCGGCGGCGTTGGCAATGGCGTCGGCTCCGTGGGCGTGGAGAAGATCGGGCTCCACCTCGGGCAGCGCCGCCGATGCATCGGCGATGTCACGCGATTCTCCGACCCCATCTGCTCGGACCTCACCTGAGCGACGATCACAAACGGGTCTTACGCGAGATGGCACAGCGACCTTGCGCGGTGGCTAACGAGGGCCGCCAGCGCGGCACTCCACACCTGAAGCGAGGGCGCTTGCGCGCGACCTTACGCGGGCAGCCTGCGCGACAATGTCGGCGCAATCGACCCCGTTCTCCTGTGCCGCCCATCTGAGGAGGCCTGGGTCGGGCGGGGGGCAGCCCTCGGGTCGGGCGAAAGGGGGGGATAGCAAAGGGGGGGTTTGAGAATCAGCTCACGTAGCTGATCTTCCCGGCGCCTCCCGGCGCCGGAGGCGGCTCTGTATCGAGGAATGGGCCCCTCGGCGAGGCCGAAAACAGCTGCATGCAGCAAATTTCGTAACCCCCCCTTTCCCAATCGCCCCCTTTCGTCCAGCCCGCAGCCCAGATCCCCGACGACCCTGATGGTCCGCTATCGAAGATTTCCGGTAGCGCTCCGCAGAGATCGGTCGCTACCGAAATACCGAAATGTAGCGCCCAATACCGGTATCAGACCGTTCTGAAATCCGCTACTTCAACGCCCTCAAACGAAGATCCGGTCGCTACCGAAATTCGGGGTGCGTCGAAATCGCTACCAAAAATTTCCGGTACCAGACCATCAGGGGACGCAAGTGCTCCAAAACCCCGACGTGCCTCCACACGACTCGCAGGCCCTACAGGAGCCCGCGCCGCCAGGGCCCAGGGGGCGCTCCGGCGCGGGCCCCCCGGGGCGGCAGGCGGCCTACCCGAAGACTGGGCCGGCAGCTCGGGTGGGAAAAGACCGGGTCCGTGGGCGTCGGGAGCAGCCACTTCGCGAAGCACGACCAACGGACAACACACAACAACAACATCACCATCAGCATCAGCATCATCGTCATCACCACGGGAACCGTCACCGTCGTCGGCATCAGCATCAGCATCAGCATCAGCATCATCATCTTTATCATCATCAGCAGCAGCACCATCATCATCGTCGTCGTCAACACAAGCCTGTAGGAGGGAGGGAAGGGGGAAGGGCAAGGCGATGAACGTGCTATAGGTATGGGTGCGAGCCGTCGGACCCCCAGAGGGGGTCTCGTTCGAGCGGGGACCCCCCCCCCTCCCGACAACACGCACCAGTAGCTTCCCCCAGAATCCCACCCCAGGAGTTCTGAGGGCCGTATACACGCTGGTCGGAAGAAGGAGGTATAAGCATGAAGCAGGAAGGCGGATGAAGTAGATTGGGTCCGGGCCCGCCCGCATAAGAACAGACAACAGCCAAACCGCATCGATTCTTGAAGCAGGAAGGCGCTTGGAGTAGATTGGGCTCTGGGAATCCAGAAGCACCTACCTTCAACGACCGATGGGTACGTATGGGTGCTAGTGGTCAGCTCGTGAGATCAGCCCACGAACAGCTGGTTCCGGAGGCGCCTCCTGGCGCTGGAGGCGCAGGATGCCGCCGGGGCAAGGCAGAGCTCCACGGCGGGGCCCGAGCCAGCTGCACGTAGCAATGTTCCCAGCCTCCTCCTCCTCCTCCTCCTCCTCCTCCTCCTCCTCCTCCTCCTCCTCCTCCTCCTCCTCTCCGTCCTTCCCCTCTCCGTCCTTCCCATCCTCCTCCTCCTCCTCCTCGCCGTCCTTCTCCTTCTCTCTTCTCCTCCCTCCTCCGGCCCGTCTCCCACCTCTTCCCTCCAGGCCCTCCTCACTTTCCTCCCTCTTGCCTTTTCCACGCTTTCTCGCAGGACGTGGACCTCTGGAGGTCTGGGCCCCTTGCCCAGGACCAGTGTTCATGACGCGTCGTCTGTCGTTTCTGGGCGGTCACAGGGCCCAGTGAGGGCACCAGGAAGCCGACAACGGGCCAAACCCATGTTGGTCCATAAATCGGGCGGTCGGGACGATCTGGCTACCCCCGGAACGGTCTCGGCGCTGTGCAGCTGCAGGAGAAATCATTCCGAGACTGGATAACCGTTGGGAGCCGACCGCGAGAAATGTCCAATAATCTCAAACGACGACGATTGCGAGCTGGTCTGCGGTCTGCCAATTGTTTCGCAACATGGGGAGATGGGGCCTCAAAACTCGGGAGCCACAAGTCTCCCCTGGACCTGTTCTGGGGTGCGCTCGAGTGAGAAAATTTCGAGGCGGATCCGGCCGTGGCGACGAGGAGCCCCCAGAGGCCAGACAGATGCACCAGCGACATACAAACATCGGAGCTCCACCGGAGCAACACAAGTCAGCATACACATACACTTTCGGAGGTCCGCGGGAAGTTCTTGGATCTGCGCTGAACCCTCCTCCCTGGCGCGCGGAGCGCGACAAGGGCGGCGCCGGAAGGGGTTGGGAGGATGAAGGGTATGAGCAATAGCACTCGGATGCAATGCGCGATACCTCCGACCGCCCACGGGTAATGCTATCCTCATGTCCCCCAGCGCCATCCTCCCAACCCGGCCACTGCCTTCCCGAGAAGAGCGCTCGAACCTCGCGGGGGGTCCGCGGTCCGCGGGGGCTTCCTGAAGGGGCCCTGGGACACACAAATAAATGCACACACACACACAAATCACAGGATTCCCCATCTTGTCCCATATTTTCTGGGCTTTCGTCTCCCCCCCCACTTCCCATATTTTCCCACATTCTCTGGGAATCGACGAGGAACTGTGTCCGTGCGTCTTTCCCCCTGCTCGACCCGGGACCTCCTGCTCGGTGCGGGCTGGGACCTCCTGCTCGGTGCGGGCTGGGACCTCGACTTCCTTCCTCTGTCCTGGGACTTGGACGCCCGAGTTATCCGGGGTAACTCGGGTCCGGGGTAACTCGGGCTTGGGTTCCCGAAAAACGAACCCGAGTTAGCCCTGACCCGAAATACCCCTGATACTTCTGGGGCTCTGGACGCCCGAGTTATCCGGGGTGACTCGGGTCCGGTCCGGGGTAACTCGGGTTCGGATTCCCGAAAAAGGAACCCGAGTTATCCCTGACCCGAGTTAGCCCTGATGATTCGGGGCTCTGAGGGACCTCCTGCTCGGTGCGGGCTGGGACCTCGACTTCCTCCTCCTCCTCCTCCTCCTCCTCCTCCTCCTCCAACTCCTCCTCCTCCTCCTCCTCCTCCTCCTCCTGCAACTCCTCCTCCTCCTCCTCCTCCTCCTCCTCCTCCTCCTCGTCCAACTCCTCCTCCTCCTCCTTCCTTCCTCCGACCCGGGACCTCCTGCTCGGTGCGGGCTGGGGGGTGCCGCACCGCGGGGGGCCCTCGCCCAGCCGGTAGCGCGAGCGCAGCGCGGCCAGGCCGCACGGCCTGGCCCCGCCCTCGCTCCGCGGCCGCCCGCCGCCGCAGCCGGCGTCGGGCGCGGGCGCGGCGCCTCGGGGAACAGACGCTCCTCCCGATCCTCCTCCTCTTCTTCCTCCTCCTCCTCTTCTTCTTATTATTATTATTCTTCGTCTTCGTCTTCTTCTTCTTCTGCTTCTTCTTCTTATTATTATTATTATTCTTCTTCGTCGTCTTCTTATTAGCATTCGTCGTCTTCTTTTTCTTATTATAATTATTATTATAATTATTATCATCATTATTATAATTATTTTTCTTAGTCCTCTTCCTCCTCCTCCCTCCTCCTCCTCCTCCTCCCCATCCTCCCCCCTCCTCCTCCTCCTCCTCCTCCTCCTCCTCCTCCTCCTCCTCCTCCTCCTCCTCCTCCTCCTCCTCCTCAGCCCTCATCCGCGCGGGCCTCCGCGAGGTCGTGTGTTTATGCCGGTGTTTGCTGCTCCACTTGAGGCCCGATTCGATTCGGGTTGCGTCGCCGGTGCATCTTTCTGGGCCTCTGGGGGGCTCCTCGTCGCCGCGGCTGGATCCGCCTCGACATGCTGGTCAGAGCGCGCCCCCAAAGCAGGTCCAGGGGGGGGATTCCCGGTCCCCGAGCACCTGGGCCGCGAGACAGCGACCACGAGCTCCGAGGCCGGATGCCGGCGTCGCTGACGGTGCAGCTCAGCGCCCCACGGGCGCCGCAGGCGCACTTCAGGCGCGCGCACGCGCGCTCGCGGGCCTCCTTCCAGAGCGCCTCGAACAGGACGAAGCTCTTGAACGAGGAGGGGGCCGAGCCGAGCGCCAGCATGAAGTCCACCTGACGAGAGGAAGGTAACAATCACAATACATAAGCATACACTTTCGAAGGTCCGCGCGAGTTCCCTGGGTCGGTGCTGAGCCCTCCCTCTCTGGCGCGCGAAGCGCGCCAGGGGCGGCGCGAGAGGCGCGGCCAGGGTGCCCCAGTGCCGATCCAAGAACTCCGCGCTGACCTACGACAGTTTGTCTTCATGCCGTTCCCTCAGGTCTGACTTTGCGCCAAAAAATTGCAACATCGCCGTAGATCCCCGGCGTAGCCCTGCACCCTACCGTCCTGCCTCATTGTCCAGGCCAGATGAGTCTGTGAGGGGCCAGGGCCCCGAAACCTGGTAGAAACGAACGGAGCGAACAAAACCTTAGTGGGCCCTGGAAACGACAGGGCCGTTTTTTTACCGGTTCCGTTTTGCCGTTTTTGTTGCCGGTTCCGACGCCGTTTTTGTACCGGTTCCGTCGCCGTTTTTTGACCGGTTCCGGCTCCGCTTCCAATCCTGGAGCCGTTTTTGTTGCCGTTTCCGGTCGCCGTTTGTTTCCCGCTTCCATGTTCAAAAGGCCTTTTTCTGGAAACGGTGCAAAAACGGCCCTGCCGTTTCCGGGGCCCACAAAGAACCAAACGCAGCGCCAGGATCGCAAGGTTTTTCCCGTTCCTCTGGCCACCAGCCGCACTCAAGCCACAAGGGGGAGCAGGAGGAGGAGGAGGAGGAGGAGGAGGAGGAGGAGGAGGAGGACGAGGTAGAACCGAACGGAGCGAACAAAACGCAGCGCCAGGATCTCAAGCGTTTTTCCGTTCCTGTGGCCACCAGCCGCACCCTGTACACCTGGCCGGCGGCCTGCGCCCGCACGTGCGCGCCGTACTTGGCGTAGAGCCTCGGGCGTGGCTTGCAACGGGGGGGGGCGTCATCGGGGGGGGGGGGGGCGAAGAAACGAGCACCGCTCGTGCCCCATTTTGGGGCCCCGCGGGGGCCCTGTAGGGCCCCCGAAAGTGCACGAAAAGTGGACCTCTCGTCACATCCACGTGCTTCGCGCGCCGACGCCAAAGCCGACGCCGACGCCGACGCCGACGCCGACGACGACGCCGACGACGACGGGCGACGGACGACAACGGACGACAACGGACGACAACGGACGACAACGGACGACGACGACGATGACGACGACGACGACGACGACGACGGCGGCGACGACGACGACGACGACGACGGACGACGGACGACGGACGACGGAAGACGGACGACAACGGACGACGACGACGACGACGCCGACGCCGACGCCGACGCCGACGACGACGACGACGACCGACGACGACGACGACGTCAGCAACGCCCGATGAGCCCCTCGGGGAGCAGGCTGCCAGGTGCGAGCGCCATCACGGGCCGCTCCTCGAGGCCGAGCACGAGGGCGCCGCGGCCCCCCACCAGGACACCGAAGTGCGGCCCGCAGGGGTCGGAGTCGGGCCGCGGGTGCCTGGGGCAAAGGCAGTCAATCGCCGGGGGCCGGCGGCACGTGCGCGGCCCGGCCCAGGGGGGGGTGCAGGGACGCACTGAAGTAAGAAGAGGCGCCATGGAAATCTGGAGAGATATCATGGACCCCGCCATGATATTCCCCCCCTGTCCTCACCCCCCTCTTGGCCAGCCCCGAAATCGGAGAGGCGTAAGGCTCGTGTATGGGGGACCCGGGATAACCGAGCGAGGCCCAGTCTGAAATTTGACGCGAGCTCCCTCTGCGATCATCCCACGAAAACTGGACAGTCAAAATTCAGGACGGGCGCGTCAAGAACCATCGGCAAACCCGACTTCCTGCGCACTCGGGTCTTAAGCTTCCCAAGGCCAGCCTCGGATCATTGTATACCAGGTTTTTCGGTCGCGATCGGTAACGACCGATCGGCACTCCAAATCGGTCGCGACCGATCCCAGAACTTACAATAAAGGCGACCGACCACGTCGGTCGCGGCTGGAAAATTCCAGTATCCAGTGATCAGGGAGGGGGGTCACCACTACCCAGAGATCCGAAGCAACAAAAAAAATGGACCGCCGAATGTTTGACACTTTTCGGCCCCTGGGGGGGCCGAAAAAGTATCCCTTGGAGCTCTCTTGGGGCGCTCTTGGGCGCTCTTAACACCGTCTTGGGGCTATTGGGCTATCATGAAGCCTCAAAAGCCCATCGGAAGCCCAAAGGCGAGAGGACAAAACACATTGATTTTCCAAAAGAGGAAGAGGGCCGTCAAGAGCACTCCAGGGCACTCCAAGACGACCTCGAACGCCTAAAAATCTCCTCCAGCCTCGATCCTGGGACCTTGATCTCCAGGGCGAGCTGGTGACCCCTCATGGTGGTGAGACCCCTTGGCGCTGCCCGGGGGCCAGCAGGCGTCCGCGTGCAGCTCCACGCACTCCGCCTGCAGGTTCACGACCCGCGCGCAGAAGTCCTGCTCATATGGGCAAGGAAGACATATACATATCCGCGGCCTCGCGGCCCTGGGCCCCTGGGCCGCGACCCTGCGGATACACGGAGCGCTCTTGTGGCGGACGCCCCGCGCGCAACGTCCCCGTGCGACAGCGTACCCGGACATCTTGGGTCTCAATTTTTCTAGAAGCACGGACCCTCGACCCCTCCAGCACTGCTCCACGACCGGTTTTTTCATCCGAGCCGGTTTTTGAAGGTCTCGAGGCCTGGTGAGGGCCTGGAGCAGTCGAGAACGCTGAAACGCCGCCGTCCCGATTATTGTCGAAACGCCGGAGGCCTGTGCATCCGCGGGTGTCTCCCGGCTTGCCCGAGCGCGCGTGCGGACTGCCTCTGCCGCGCTGCGACGTAGAAAGTGTACAGTGCGGGCGCGGCCGCAAGAAACCCTCGCAAGAGACCCAGCCCTCAAAACCCGCAGGCGGGAGAGGCAAGTGGGGGGAAGTCCAGGGCACCCTGAACGCAGCAACTTCTTCCACGGCCACAGGATCACCGCGCAGCGCGCGGAGCGAAGAAACCCAAGGTCCCATGGCGAAGAGCACCTGCCTTCTTGATGCGCGTCCTCACTGTACGGCAGGTTCGTGTCGTGTCGACCCCGGCGCCGCCGGTTCCTTGCACCGCGGGGATCGTTCAACCTTGAAGGATCTCGGCCGTTCCACGAAACGCCAGCTCGTTCATCACCGACCGCTTCTGGGTCGCCGGCGGCCTTCAGCACTGAACGCCAGCGGCGGGGTCGCCGCGGGTCGACGCGACGCGAACCTGCCGCATCCGCGGGATCGCGCCACGGAGCCCCCGACCGCGAGTTGAGCAGGGCCCCGTCCCGGCATCCCTATAGGCCTGCCACGACTACTTAGAACCCAGACCTGTTCTGAGAACACAAGCAATGCTCTCAGAACAGGAAGCCTCGAAACAAGACAGCCCCAGCCAGAAGTGTCCTGAGAACATTAGGAGACCGATTTCTGACCACACCCACTTCCCGAGGTGCCTTGCGAAAAGCGGTTTCCAGAGGTGGAGGTGGGCAGTTTCCCCGCCCCAGGGGAAGGAAAAACTACCCACTTCCACCCCCGAGGGCCTATCATAGAACCGAGGATCCAGAGGTGGATGTGGTCAGAAATCGGTCTTCGAAACATTCCGTGGACCCCCCCCCGAAAGTTCCCAGAACATTGTTTGGTAGGCCTGTGGGCTCGCCAGGACGCTTCGCCGCTGCTTCAGCGAGGGCGCGGCGGGGTGGGGGAGCACGGTTTCCCCCAGGGCCGTAGGCGACCCGAGGAGGAGGAGGAGGAGGAGGAGGAGGAGGAGGTGGAGGAGGTGGAGGGAGGAGGAGGGGAGGGGAGGAGGGAGGAGGGAGGAGGGAGGAGGAGGGAGGAGGGAGGAGGGAGGAGGGAGGAGGGAGGAGGAGGAGGGAGGAGGAGGAGGAGGAGAGGAGGAGGAGGAGGAGGAGGAGGAGGAGGAGGAGGAGGAGGAGGAGGAGGGAGGAGGAGGAGGAGGAGGAGGGAGGAGGAGGAGGAGGAGGAGGAAGAGGAGGACCGGTCGCCTAAGCCCTTCGGAGAAACCCTCCAGGTGGGGGAGCGTGCGCCGCCCGCGGCCTGCGCCGCGAAGCCCAGCCCCAGCGCGCAGAGGGGCAGCCCGCTCTCGGCCTGCCGCAGGCGCTCCTCGGGGGCCGGCAGGGAGGCACCCGGGGCACCGGGCGAGCGTCGGAGGGCCCTTCTAAAAAGACGCGAAGATCGGGACAACATCGGATCGGGATAACTCGAAACCTCTGAGGATCGGCGGGTTTGGAGGCTGTATGGGGCGCCGCGGCCGCTCCAGAGCGTTCCGGAACGCTCTGGGAGCGCTCCGGAACGCTCTGGAGCGACTCATCCCGATCCTAGCCCTGTTTTAGGGAGGCACCCGTGGTTGGGCGTGGCTTCATGGGGGGGTCATAAATGGCGGGGTCAGAAACGGTCCCCTTTCGTGCCCCTTTCGGGCCCCTCGGGAGCCCCAGGGGGCTCGTTTAGGTACCGTTTGGGTACCTTTTCGGACCACCCTCGCCACCCCCCCATTTACGACCCCCCCATTACGCAACGCCCAATCGCGGGGGCCGGCAAGGAGGCTCCGGGGCACCGTGCGAGCGTCGGAGGGCCCTTCTAAAACGACGCGAAGACCGGGACAACATCGGATCGGGATAACTCGAAACCTCTGAGGATCGGCGGGCTTGGAGGCTGTGTGGGGCGCCGCGGCCGCTCCAGAGCGTTCCGGAACGCTCTGGGAGCGCTCCGGAACGCTCTGGAGCGATTCATCCCGATCCTATAGCCCTGTTTTAGGGAGGCACCCGGGCACCGTGCGAGAGTCGGAGGGCCGCGCCCGTCGGTCGGAAGAGGAAACTTTGGGAGGCGACTGCCGGGAGGTCTGCGCCGGAAGGATCGAGGAGAACTAGGCCCCACGGGGGGGCCGTTGCGCCGGAGTGGGCCTCGGATTCAGCGGGGCGAAGGCCGGATTAGGCAGGATTGAGCGGGATCAAGCCGGACTGAGCGAGATGAAGCCGGATTCAACCGGATTTCAGGGCGAAACCAGAATCTGACCTCCCAGGAGTTGCATCCGAAAGAAGTGGGTCGAAACATGAGGAAGGAAGGCGTCGGAAGCAGATCGGGCTCCCGCCCGCGGCCCCGCCCCCCCTGGAAGGGGAAGGGAAAGAAGACACCACTCGACCACTGAAGCAGGAAGGCGCCTGCAAGGGAGATCCGGAATCTGGGAATGCAAAAGTATATACTTTCAACGACTGGCGTGTACCGTCGAGTTCAACTAGAAAGGACGCGCAAGAGCATATGAGACTCTCTCGAGGGCAACAGGACCTGTAAGCCAAGGCGCCTTTGTCCCACGAGTGCAGCCTGCGCGTGACCCAGGACAGAACACCAGGGAGCCCCCGACTTGGAAGGGTCGACCTGCAGATTAAGCTCGACTGAAACAACCTATGGAGGCCAAGAACAATACATGCTTGAGCGATCCAAGATCGCTGGAGGCATGTGTCTCCCCATCGCGCGACTGGTCAGTGGAAGGCAGCGAACCTACGACACCGAAGCGCTGCAGCCGCCGTCGCAGCCGCAAGGGGAGAGAATCACGAGTCCGTCGCCGCCTGGAGCGCTGCTCCACCCCCTGAGCTTGCCGTCGCTCGGACGTCCATTCCCTGTGCGTTTTTCGGTTTCATGCGTGTTTTTCTTTGCTCGATGATCCAGGATGCTCCTCGATGGTCCTCGCCGAGAAAAATGCACACGTCCGAGCGACGCCAGGTGAGAGTGGGCAGGGAGGTCCTCCCTGGATAATCATGGGGCTGACATCACCCCTGCTTTCCTGACCTCTCGCGGGGCGCGTTCTGACCAGCACTTCGCGGCGAATCCTGCCGTGGCCACGAGGGCCTCCCAGGAGGCCCAAGAAGGCGAAACGGAGGCCCGTGCAGCTGTAGAGCAGGGTGAGATGAGGGAAGGACAGCGGCGACTCAAAATCACTCCCTGAGCTGCGCCCAACCGTGGCGACGAGAGCCCCCTCAGGGAGGCCAACTGCCGCTGTCTCAACTCGGCCAGGGTAGCGTTATCGATGCCTTTTGAAATGACCAGCTCCCCAGAAAAATGCTGAAGTGATCATGATTTCTCTGAGGTCCGAGCGAGCGGATTTCTCGGATTGGCGCTGCCCTTTTATGGCGGCAACGCTTAAAGGGGCCCAACGCCGATCCGAGAAATCCGCGCGGACTACATATCAAGTATGTATGTATAATGTATGCTGTATGCCTTGTTGGTTCTACGATGTTCCTCCTCGCGCGCCATCTTCCGCAGGCACCCTACGCGCGAGTGCTGGGGCAATCGAACACTTTGTTCTGTGTCGCCCAACTGCCGCTGTCTCAACACGCCCTTATCTCAGCTGCTACCGCAGACACGCCGATCCGAGAAACCAGCGCGGCCCTCCGAGAGATTACGCTCACGCTTCCTGCAACGCCTTCAAGGCGTACTGCATGATCCAGGCCAGCGAGGCCGACCTGGACATCGGAGAACACTCCAAGCTGCTGCTCCTCGACTTCCGTCGAGGCCCTCAGGTCGAGACCGCGAGGCGATTTCCTCCTCCTCCTCCTCCTCCTCCTCCTCCTCCTCCTCCTCGTCCTCCTCCTCCAAGGAGGAGGAGGAGGAGGAGGAGGAGGAGGAGGAGAGGAGGGAGGAGGAGGAGGAGGAGGAGGAGGAGGAGGGGGAGGAGGAGGAGGAGGAGGAGGGAGGAGGAGGAGGGGAGGAGGAGGAGGAGGAGAGGGGAGGAGGAGGAGGAGGAGGAGGAGGAGGAGGAAGGGAGGGAGGAGGAGGGAGGAGGGAGAAGGAGGGAGGAGGAGGAGGAGGAGGAGGAGGGAGGAGGAGGAGGGAGGAGGAGGAGGAGGGAGGAGGAGGAGGGAGGGGCGAGGCCCCGCGGCGGGGCCCCGAGGCGGGGCCCCCTCGGAGCTCCTGCCGCAGCAGCTGCAGCGCCTGCCGCAGCGGCGCGGCGCCCTGGTCGGGAGACTCGGCATGGGGGGGGGAGGAGTCCCATGGGGGGCAGGAGGGGATCCCCCATGGGATCCCCCCCTTGCCCCCCCATGGGATCCCCAGGGGATCCTCCTGTGGGATCCCCCCCCTGGGATCCGATCCCCCCATGGGATCCCCCCCCATGAAGAGTCTCCCGACCTGGGCCGAGGCGGCCACCGCCCGCACGCCGCCCGCGGGCACCACGAGCGCCCGGCACTCGCTCGCCGCGCGCACGGCGGCGGTGCTCACGGGCAGCAGGCCCAGGGCCGCCGCCTCCCCGAGCACGGCGCCGTCGGAGAGGCCGCAGAGCACCTCGGGCCCAGACCCCCATCGGGTCAGAAGGTCCTCCTCCTCCCCCTCCCTCCTCCTCCTCCCCCTCCTCACCTCATCCTCCTCATCTCTCCTCCTCCTCCCCCTCCTCCTCCCCCCTCCCCCCCCCCCACCCCTGAGCAATCACAGCTAAGGGGGTTAGAAAGGCGCTTTAGCCGCCTGCCTTGGTGGGCTGGGGGGGGGGTCAGAAAAAGGCGCTTGAGCCGGCCAGGCGGCGAATCGCTGATACGATGGGGTGCCGGGTCCGGCCTGCCATGCTAACCAGATCACAAATTGGATTGGCTATGGCTTTACCGATGCCCTGAGGGGCCGTTCAACAAGGGGGCTAAGGCAGGGGGACGGCCCAACATATCAACACAAACCTCCAAAGATGCATGATTATGTAATGTCGTTTTTTTTCGGGGGTCGCGGTGTCGGTACCTTTCCCTCATCCCCAAGTCTCCTTTTTTCCTCATCCCCAAATCCCATAACGTCAGACTCCCAAAGCTCTCGACCACAAAATCACGACCGAGTTTGTTCCTTATGTTCGGCTTCCAGGGGCCCTGGTCAGGCTTCAGAGACGTCAAAAAACAATGCAGGACGACAAGCCCGTCGTTGGGATTGGGCCTAGACCTCTGGGAGTCAGACGTAACGAACAAATCGTGACGATGGACAGATACGGCACCGATACCAAAGGGCCCCGAAACACCGAAACAGTACTGAATTATGAGATACGTGGAATTCCCCATGCTCGCGCCTATTTGCATGTGACCTTGCCCTTTGAATGTCTACGCGCAAGAGAGTCCGAGTATAAACGAGCTTGAACTTTGACAGCCTGAGAATACATCTCACGGTGGCCGAGTTCGAAGGTGAATGAGTCCCAGTAGTACGAATGGATCTATGCGCGCGAGTCTGGACATGGCATCTTAGGATGAACGCATCCGCGCGTCAAATTGAACCGACATGGTTGCGCGATCCCTGTCCTTGATGAAGCCAGGGACATGGGAGCTCAGGTAAAGACCGCGCAAGACCTTTGAACTTCGATCAGTGGCAGAAGGCGACCTCTCCCTGCGGCTCGCGCAAACATCTCGCGTGCCACACTACGTGGAAGAGAGAGGGTCTGCTCGCGGCAACACGCTGGAAGCTCACGCGCCAGCGCCCCCCCCGCTGGCGGAGCGCACCCCGGCGACCCAGGCAAGAGCACATGGCGCGAAGGAGGGCGGGGGGGGCAGGCGGCTTGTTTCTCTGGCGGCCAGAGCGCGTCTGCGTCGTCGTCAGCGCCGCGCTGCCCCCTGGGCCCCTGGCGAGCGCTGTCGATGGTCGCCTCGGCGCGCGTCGTCTGCCCCCGCGAAGCCGTCGTCGTCAGGCAGTGGGAGCGCGAGAGCATGAAGCCGAAGCGTTTCCCGCTATGCGCCGCGGGCGACGTCTCCCAGGCGAGGGTGGCCCCCATCAGCGACGCGCAGAACAGGCCGCGAGCAGTCCTCTCTTCTGCAGCCTGCTCTTCGCAGTCCACGTAGTCCATGACCTCTTTCCGCGTGGGCGCCATCTTGAAAATCGCCAGCTTGCAGCCGAATGCCAGTCGGGAGCGGCGCGGTCTGATGATCTCGCCTGGGCGCGCGGTGTTGTAGTTCATCTGGTCGTCCGTGTCGAACGCGAGATCAACCACGGTGGCCCGCTGCTCGCGGGCGAGGCCGCGCATTCTTTTGAACTTGCCAGCGAAAAGAAGCCGCGTTCCCGCGCGAGCAGGGCGCGCCCCGCGCATCCTGCCTGCGCGGAAGATGTTAGCCACGTTCAGCATCCTGGAGTGCCCCGCCCCCCCCCTCCCCCGGGAACGCTGTGGCCAGCGCGCTCGCCCCGTGGATGACTCTGGCCACCAGACCAAGCGGGTCGCCTGAGACATCCCCCCAATATGGACCCCTCGGGGGGCGAAAACAAGCGCCTCGCGCGAACCGTCCTCAATCCGATCAAACCGCAGACGAATCCGGCCACCAAAACCAACAGACGGCCCGCGCAATCTTGGCCCCCATGGGATAGGACACCCAGCGCCCCGCCCGAAACATCCTCAACACCTTCCCTGGAAACGGAGGACGTCGGGTCGGTGGTGAACAGGCAAGCCGCTCAAGACATTCCTGCAATCTGAGCGCGAGCGCGGGAACGCAATGCCTCCTGGCGCCCCCCCCCCCCCCACGCGAATGCTGACACCGGTGCCTCGCCCGAGACATCCTCGATATCTGCGCTGATCGCAAGTGGATATGGCCACAAGTGCAAGCAAACCGCTCGGGGCACTCTGGCCGCCCGGGCGCCCCCAGGGCGCGAAAGCCACCGCCTCGCCCGAAGTGTCCTCAAAATCTGCTCTGACAGCGAAGGACGCTGGGCCGGCAGACAGACAAGCCGCACGAGACACCCCCGCAATCTGGGCGCGAACGAAGGAATGCAATACCCCCTGGCGGACCCCACCTGGGCGGCGCTGAAACCAGCGACTCGCCCGAGACATCCTCGAAATCTGCGCCGCCAGCATCGTCGTCGTCATCGTCCCCATCAGCATCGTGGGCATCGTCACCATGATCGTTGCCGTCCTCGTCATCATATCACAAGCCGAACTTCGACCCTGAGTGTGACTCTGAGCAAGGGGATCTCTGTTCATCATGCTCATCATCATCCTCATCATCATCGCCACCACTGTTGCCATTCGCATTTTCGGGGGCACCAGCGCCATGCCTCAGCGCAAAAAAAAAGGCGCCGCCACGCGAGGCGCCGTGACCGCGCCGCGATGCAGCTGTGCAAAGGGGCGCCTGACGCTCGCGCCACGCCCGCGCAACAGAAAGGGCCAACAGCAAGGCCCACGATGGAGGTCGCGCGCTGTGGGAGACCTCCCAGGAACAATCGCGCGCCCAACGGCGCTTGTCGGAGTTCGCGGCGGGCAGCCGGCCCAGCCCTGGCCGCGGGCACCTGAGGGGCGCGCGGCGCAGAGGCCACGGGGCAACCCGCCCACTGGGACAAAGGCGCAGCCTGCATCGCGCCCTCCTCGCCACGGGCGTGACCGCGGTCAGCGCGGCCAGTCGGGGCAGTCCGCAGGCTCGGCGACGCCGCCCATGGACGCAGCGCCACAGGCAATGCAGCGCCACGGGCAGCGCGAGACGGGAGATGAGGGAAAACAGAACAGCGAAGTCCTGCCCGGCACCGCCAAGGCAGGGCTGCCCCTCATGACGCAACGCTATATACTCGGAGTCGCCCTGAGAGGGATTCTGGGACGGACGGACAAATGGGCCCTCGTCGTCCGCGACCCGACGAGATCCAACGACCCGTCGGAAAGCGCGCCCAGGGCCCGCGCCAGACGGCGCGGGCCTCGCGCCGACGGGGGGGGCGCCCCGAGCGGGCGCTGTGCCTCGCTCGCCCTGCGCCGAGGCCGTGCCCGCGGGGCCCGGGCCAGCCGTCTCGCCCGACTCTGCATCGGACCGTCTGAGAACAGGAGGGGAAGATCCGGCGTCTTCCTCTCCGCGCAAAGCCTCCACCACTTGAGCCGGCAGGCCAGCGGCCCACCACGGCCCTCCGCGGCGGGCGACGGAGCGACGGCGCCATCAGAGGGCGGCCTGTGTGGCTCAGCGCCCTGGAAAAAAACACCGCGAACTGCCTCGTCCACAGCGTCGGAGGCAGCCCTGCTGGAACTGGCCATGCCTGGGCACGAGTGAACGGCGCCCTCGAGGGCGGGCGCCTCCGCGACGGCCTTCGAGGCTGAGCAGTGGCCCGCCGGCACTAAGAGACGTTCGCAAAGACAATGGCATCGACAGAAACGCCCCCTTCGCCGGGGTGACTGCCCGAGGCTATCTACCTCCAATAATGGCTACCAGAAGCGTCGGGGGGGGTTCAGAAGGCGCCGAGCCCTTTGCCCCTGCAGCCCGAAATGTAGAGACGAGAGGGAACGCAAGGAGAAACAACCCAGTTGTCCGAGCAACCGAAGACAACCACTCCGTTTCGAGCGCGCCCCATCAACGCCAGGCCGAGACGAATGCGGCCCCTTGCAGCCGAAGGCGCGAGGGCGCTCTAAGGCCAGAACAACGTGGACCAACTTTGCATCGCCAACCTTCGCTGACCTTCTCCCATCGGTGCTACAACCGCGAAGCGGCCTTGAGGGGGGCGGGGGGGGGGGGGCGCTCCGACTCCGCGCAATCCGCCCGCAGCCGCAGAGCGAGGTCCGCCGCGCCAACAGCGAGGACACCCTTGGCAAGCTTGACTTGCCAGTCCAGCACCTCGGAGAGCGCGGGTTCAAACGAGGGTTGGCCGCCGCGGCTCTCTTACACCCGGCGTCGGCCAAGTCATTCCCTGAAGGACAGATGCGATCCCGCCCCGAGATCCCGACCTCATTGGTGCCCCGATGGGCATCTACTTTGGCCGGGGAATTGCAGCGGCCGCCTACGTCGGCCGCCCCCTGCAGCGACGGGCCCGCGCGCAATTGCTCGAGGGAGCGTGCGCGAGACCTAACGCAGGGAGCACTGCCTAACAACGCTACTGCAATCGCCAGAAGCACCCGAAGGTCCCCGATGGCGCGGGGGGGGTCGAGGGTCGAGGATCGAGGGAGATCGAGGAGGATGGAGGATCGAGGAGGGTCGAGGATCGAGGAGGATCGAGGACCGATGAGGATCGAGGATCGAGGGGGGCCGAAGGGCCCGAACCACGGACGGCCGAAAACTCAACGGCCCGGGCGGGCCGGGCACGTGGGGGGCCGAGCGGGGGCAACGACTTCGCGCGGGGAGAGATGCTTGAGAAGCCATGATCTCCGACCATCATGCCACGCTGCGCAATTCAGAGGCAGGATGGCGGGTGCCAGACCCATCGACAAACAAAACGCCCCCCCGCCACCACCCAGCCCCAGACCCCCGAGCCGGGCGAAGTGGCAGACGGCCCCGAGGCCACAGGGACCAGTCTCAGGGCAACTCCAATGGACCCGAATCTGCCCATCGGAACACGACCCGGACAGCCCCCCAGGTGACGACGGGCTCCGCCAACTCAAAGACTCTACTCATGATCTTCAGCTGCGGCTTGCATCGCTGGTCCCATGGCATCCGCGCCAGTGACTTCGGCGCGCGCGCCCCCGCGAGCAGGTCGCCCCCAGAGACGACGCACTCAAATATCAGCGGCGCCGCCGCAGACGGCGCGACGATCCGCAATTGCACATCTGCCGGGTCGGGCTAAAGTGGCCGCCCAGATCGCGCTGCAGGACAGAACTTCCACAGTCGGGCAGTCCTCGGGGCCGACGCGCGTGAACCTGAAATGGGCATGACAATGCCAACGCATCACCAGCGTTCAACCCCGGCGCTTCCCCCCGACAAGCGCCCTGGGCCACGAAGCGCGGCGGCGCGACAGGGGGAGACAACCAGCCTCGGAAACAACGAGAGCAGCTACAACGCGTTTCCCTGGTCGTCAACACTGGCGCAGAAGTTGGTCATGTGCCTGCCCAGGCGATGCGCAGACCTGCGCAGGGCAGAGATCGGACCTCCGACTTCGGCCCGGGACCATATCCCCCCTGGCGGCAGCGGCTTTCCAGGCGGCCCTGTCTCGGAGAAGCCCAACGCCCCCTTGATCGCGTGAGTCTGAACAAGCCACAATCCCTCGCGCCATTTATCAATCGGCGCAGCGCTGGCACGCCGCGCGGGGCCCCCTTCAGGGGGGGCGAAGACGGTGAGAGAGCGGTCCCGGGACTCGGGGGGGGGCCGCGGATGTGGCTCGGTCGCCGAAACAGAGCAGACCGAGGTCTGAGACTCCGAACGCTCCAGGGCCTAGCTCTTGCCAGAGGGGCCGAGCACGTATATGTTTGAACAACCTCTCCCCGGGCGTCTAGCTGCGCTCGGGGCCTGCGCCTGGCGGGGAACTTAGCTGGGCGGGCGTCGTTGCATTTCTTCGTCCCACGTGGGGCCGACGAGCGCAGAGCGGCCCCGGTGCTGAAATGGACCCCCAGGTTGGTGGCCGAAGAAGAAGGGCGCACCGCCAGGGAGTCAAGTCCAACCGACTGAAAATGGAGCGAGCGCCGCGAGAGCGGCCGACCATGTCCTACGCGAGCGCGCGCCCCAGCTCCTCGGTGACCGAGCGGCGCCCGCCCGCGCTTGAGGTGGCCAGGGCCTCGGCAACTTTCGACGCGGCAGCAGTGCGAGACAGGCCCGCGCCGCCCACGCAGGTTCCGAAATCTGCGCCAGCGGCGAGGGGGGCGCCGCCGAGCGCCCGGAGATCAGAAGAAAAACGGATGAAGGGCGCGGCCGTCGAGCAGCGAGCCGCAGACCCCGAGCTCACCCAGAAAAGGGGCACTCTACAACGCGCCCGGCGCGCCCCCTATGGAGATGCATCTGCGAGAGCGGCCAGCCCAGCGCGCGACCGCGGCGACGCGGGAGGGGAGCTCTATCTGGCAGCGCTGGCTTTCAAGATAATCGAAGGAAATGATTTCATTATGTTGCTGCAGGTCGACGACGACGGAGCCCGACGCGATGCCTCGGGGCGCTCCGCGCTCCGCCCTGGAACTGTGCCTCTGAAGCGCGCCGGCAGCCCCGCGGTTGGCCCCCGCGGCCCAGCGGGGCCCGGCGCGCGCTCGCCGCCCCACGAGAACGAAGAGCCTCCTGGAACGGCCCCAGAGCCTGCGCCGCGGAGCACATGGGCCCGGGCCCGCCCGCACCTCCAAGGCAGCCGAGAGAGTTGCGGCAGGAGTCCGCGGGCTGGGGCCCATATAGCGATGCCGCGAGCCCGGCGACCTCACTTGCCCAGTCCTTCCCTCAGCAACTTCTGCCGCGAGGTCGCGCTAGCAATGTCAAAATCCTCGCGCGCGGCCTCCGCGCGCGGGGCCAAATCAGAAGCGAGCCGACTCGATTTGGCGAGGAAGCGAACGAAGCGATCGGGCGGAGGACGCTCCTTCCAAACCGCGGGCCGCAAAGACTCCGCGGGCCGTGCCCATCGAGCGATCCTGTCGCGAACCAATTTCGGTAACCTGGCCCAGCGCCGACTGGGGATGAGGGGAGCCAGCGAACTTGGTCGCTCAACTAGCGGCTCTGCTGAAAATGTCGGGGCCCGACTGCCTGGCGGCAGCCGCGCGCGGGTGGGGGCGCACTGCCGCGTGCGCCTGCTGGCACTTCTGCTGAGGTGAGATGTCAGCTGGGCTATTTTCGGAGCGCCGAGGAAAAACAAAAAACAACTGCTTGTTCGTGCTAGCCGCCATGTCACCTGCTTCTTCGGCGAGCTGGGCCAGCTGGGCTTCCTCCGGAGCTAGCAGGCTGGGAACACCGCCCGGCGGGCGAGGCGGTGCGCCGCCACTGCAATCGACGGCGACACCATCAGCAAGAGCCAAACAATCACCCCACCTGTTGCTCTTGCCCCCGCCCTTGCCGAACCCCTTCTTGCCTCCGCCATGGACCTCGTCACGCTGAGATGGAACCCGCGAGCCAGCAGGAGGACGTGGAGTGGACGCGGGCACCACGGGAAGTACACCCTAGCAACTCTTGCACCCCACGCGGTGCGGACGGGGAGACTCACCCCATTATCCTGCGTCTGTCTCGTCACCGAGGGAGTCCGTGCCACGCCACGTACACGGTCGGTACACTCAACCGCCATGAGAAAAAAACCTGAATCCATCGGGCACGGGTACAGTGAGTGCTCAAGATGGAAGTCCGCCGATCCGGCGTGTTTCAACGGCGTAGCGTGAGCCTCAATTCTTGAGCTTCAGCTCTGCTTGGGGGGGGGTGCTGGGGTTGCTCTGCCGGGGTAGGGGGGGGGCTCCGAGTCAATCTTGCTGGCAAAATCGGAGTTCCAGCTCACTCCGGGTCGGCCCCTCGCCCCGGAGAGCTCGAACGCAGGCGCATAAAAACCCAGCGGCCGCCCGGACGGCCCGAGAGAGCCCTGAGTGGCCGAAGCATCGTCCAAGACACTCAATATGTTCCTCAGACGGCTCCAGAAGCCTCCAACGCACCCTCCCGACACCTCCTAGGAGTGCCCAAAAACGGAAAAGCTGTCCCATTCCCTGAGGAAAACGTACATGATTGGCATGTGTGCTTCTTCGGCCTTCGCAGTGTCCAACACGGCCCAAGAGACCCCGAAAACAGGCCCAGAGGCTCTCAAGAGGGCCCCACGTCGGCCCAAAAAGGGCCCAAGACGGCCCGGGAGGCCCCCAAGACAGCCCAATCGGGCCCCAGGACGGGCCCAAGAAGCGCCCAAGAGGGCTCCATGACGGCCCCAAAAGGGCCCAAGACGGCCCAAGAGGCGCCCAGGAGGCACCACAATGGCCTTAGGAGTCCCCAAGAAACCCCGAGAGGCTCCAAGTGGCCCTCAAGAGGCTCCCAAAAGGCGCCCAAAAGCGCTCCCGAAGGCTTAAACATTACCTCCTACACACCCCCAGGAAGCCTCCAGGATGCCTCCTGCATGCCTCCCAAGAATCCCAACAGGCCCCCAAGAGGCTCAGCAATCACCTCCAAGACGCCCCCCCCAGGAGGCCACGAAGATGCGTCGTAGAGGCCCCTCAACAAGCCCACGCAATGCCTCCAAGCTGTTTCCAAAACAATTACGTTTGAACGAGCGGGCTGGGGCGAAGAGTCCTTCTAACAGCGGGATCGCCCCGGATCGGCGGCACTGGCCGGAGGCCTATACAATAATCGCGAAAACAGAGAATTGGGGAAACCCCAATGCAGTGGCGGGCAACGCGACTGCTGAAAGCGGTAGGGGCCGCGGATCCCCTGTACCAGGAGAAACGCAGTCCTGGGCCAACGCTGCGGACTTGAGCAAAAATGGCTCCGGAGCATCGACATCATCAACACCACCATCGTGCTCATCACCATCATCATCAGCACCAGCAGCAGTATCATCATCATGATCATCAGCATCATCATCATCATCACCATCACCATCACCATCATCATCATCATGATCATCATCATCATCATCATCATCATCAGCATCATCATCATAATCATCATCATCATCGTCATCATCATTATCATCATCAACATCAAAAACACAAGAATCATCAGCGGCATCATCATCGTCGTCATCATCACAATCATCATCACCACCATCAGCATCATCATCATCATCATCGTCATCGTCACCGCCATCGTCATCGTCATCGTCGCCGTCATCGTCATCGTCATCGTCATTATCGTTATCGTCATCGTCGTCGAGCGTGTGAATCTGAGTCAGGGTTCGGCGCGGTCGGAGTAATAACAAAAGCCCCATCCTTCGAATATGGGGGGAGATAAGCTTCGGAAAACCGTGTGGATCTCTTGGATCGGCGCTGGGCCCCGATGGCGGCGCCTCCGGCACCGCCCCTGGCGCGCCCCGCGTACCAGGGAGGAGGGCTCAGCGCCGACGCAAGAAATCAGCCTGGAACTCCGAACGCTAATGTTTATTTAATTGGTTGTTACTCGAACTCTGTCATAGTTTCCCCCGTTTTGGGGAATCCTGGGAGGCTCTCGTCGCCACGGCTGGACTCGTCTCGAAAATCTGGTCAGGACGCACTCCTGGAGAGGTCTGGGGAATAGCGGCATCGGTAACTTTGGGTTTCCCCAGCACCCTGCCCTCCCTGGACAGCACCTCCAGAAGAAAAACAGGACGCATGAGCACACAACGTCTCGGGCCCGCACGCATTTCTTGGGCCGATCGTGGCGTGCGAAGCGCGTCAGTGGCGGCGCCGCAGGCGCCGCCAGGGTTAGGCCGGGCATGTCCCCCTACAGGGGAATCTTGAACGAAAAACAAAAAGATCCCCAACCAAACTACAAAGTACCAACATAATATATACAAAAAAACCACCCCCAGATTATTGTTTGACTATTGTTTTACTATTTTTTGACTATAAAAAATCACCCCCAGACTATTGTTTGACCATCTTTTATCCTCCTCCTGCAGAGGGACGGGCCCGACCCAACGCCGGGGGGAGGCCCGGCGCCCGGCCCGAGAGATGCGCACGGAGCTCCCGGAGGCCCTGCTCGTGCTCTGCCTCCTCTTCTCCTCCGCGCCTCCGCGCGGCCGTGCAGGAGGAAGAACATGCGGTCCAGCTCCTCGCCCGCCTCCGCAATGTCAGGAGGGCACCAGCTATACACCAACACCGATCCTGGCCCAGGATCACCCTGGGCCCAGGATCGGTGCATGCGCCCTCCCGCCTTGCGCAAGAGGGCATACACACCGATCCTGGGCCCAGGGTGATCCTGGGCCAGGATCGGTGTTGGTGTATAGCTGGTGCCCTCCGCAATGTACTCGCCGGCCCCGTACCGCACCTCGGACAGCGGCAGCGACACCCGCCGCACCAGCTCCGCCGGCAGTCCCGCGAAGAGGCGGCTGCGGCGCAGGGCGGGCACGACCACCTCCGGCGACGCACGACCAGCACACACACACACACACACTACCTGCAAGGAGGAAAGACTGGTCTACTCTGTAAGAACGGTTTTTTGAAGGAAAATCTGCCTTCAAAAAACCGTTCTTACAGAGTAGACCAGTCTTTCCTCCTTGCAGGTTTTTTGAAGGCAGATCTGCC